TGTCGGGCTTCCATATTCAGGTAAGACACACTGAGGAAGCAGGCAGAATAAGCTTAGGACCTCTAGGCGCAAAAGTGGTGAGCTAATGAGCCTTCTTTGAGGAACAGATGGGCAGGAAACCCAATCGCGCTCCAGCCTTTAATTACAGCAACAAGCAATAATGTCAGAGTCCTCCTTTTGGGGGAGCGGCAATCATCCCACTACACCTTCTTCCGTAGCGCTGCGAATCGAATTTGAGGGCCAGTGCACATGTTTTGGAGTGGCGTTGGGGTGGTAGATACCCTGGTCCCTAAAGGACATGTGCAGCTCATCATACCTAATCCCCGAAGCACATGGGACGTGCTGGGCGTCGGGTGGGCGGCGTAAACACGAACATGCGCCACCGGTGAAGATCTGCTTGTTGAGGCTCGCCGCTGGTTTGTAAGAGTGTGGGGGCGTTAAAACTCTGGTGGCCGTGGTACGATATCATTTCGCATGACCAGAGAGAATAGCGGTGGCCTTTTCGGTCAATTAAACACATGCCTTTGAGTTTGGTTTGAATTATTTCGGTTTGGTTTCAGCTGGTTTCAGTTCCACAAGGACGCCTTCCCACGCACCCACCCGCACCCAACCAACCAGGCAATCCAAGCCAAGCCAAACCTCAGGTCTCGCAGGCTGCGACGGCAGGCGCAGCACCTCTGTGTTCGGATTTGGCCCCAAGCTGCTCACCCGAAGCCTCGATCTTTCTTTCAAGTTTTTGCGCTGCGGGTGGAGTGCAACACTTTTTCGGACATCGAAGTAAACTCTGTTTGCTCCGGAATTGAGATGTCCCTTTTGGAACTCATGTGGTCTGAAATTGCAGGGGGTTTGGCGTGAGTGGGACTCAGCAGCAAAATCGGCAGGACGTGGCCCACTTGGAAGCCTGAGTTCGAGTATCTAGGCAAACAAAGCAGCAGAATGGCAGCTGGGTATTTCAGGCGGCTTTGTGTCAGTATCGCTAGATGACAATCTCCGTCAGAAGCCGGCCTATCACATGGCGGCCAATCAAGGTTGTTGTATTTGTTGCCCGCTGCTTTAAGGCATCAGCTGCATGGGGATGCTGGTGCTTATCATTCATCCTTCGCCACCTAGCTTCCAAAACGCCTTGCAGCGAACCGCAAAACAAGCAAAGTTGACAGCCACCCACCAGAAAGCCAGGAATGTGGAGACAGCGAGCTCCACAACCAGTAGTTGTTCCACGTATGATAGTTTGCCACTTGGCAACCTGTTGCAATAACGTTTCAGACAATCTACGAACGCATCAGCATTGCCAATCCCTTGAGCATATTATGGCCCTGCTTGTCGTTTTCAACCATATCTAATACTTCTATTTGATTTGTGGTTCGAAGTGATGTTCAGGTATGGGCACACGCCTTGTGCTTCACGAGTTGGTGAAATGCATCACCATTGCTCTACCAATTTGCCCCATCCAGAGTTTTGTTGATGCATGCGTTTCCGAGTATACTCCGTGTCTCAAGAGCACTTCAGGCCACTGGCATTTCAGACATTTGGAATGATTCAATCCGTTCTGGAAGACTATGTTGCCAGTGCGAACGTGGTCAAATGGGCCCAGAAACGCTGTGGAGGTTGCTTTTGTGCTCGCCAGGGCGAAGCCCTGCTGTTGCCCGCGGCCACACCGGCGACCCCAGCGCGGCGCCGCATCTTCGCGCGGCTGGACGCCTGAGGCCGGCGACAGGCCAATGTAGGTGGCACGATCTCCTTGATTTGGGTAAAAGGGGTGGCTTTTTCCCCAAGTGGGGGGAATTGTGCCATCTAAATCCCTGTAATTTCTGGTTCAGGCAGAATGTGCACATTGCGAGGGCAACATGGCCAAAAGCTTTTTGTTACTACTACTCGCGTTGATTTGCCAATGCACCTCGGTCAACTCCGTGCCCAGGTGTGCCACACGCGCCCAGAACGCTTGCCCTTTTTGCCGCCCGGGCGCAGCGCGCGCCGCAGCTTGTGCCGCCAAGGGCCCGCGGATGCCGCGCCGCCAAAGTTGAGCACGTAGGCTCACCTGGGAATGTTTTCCAGACTTAGCATCGGAAAGGAAGCCTCATTTCACGAAGCCACTAGACTGCAGCCCGGAACTTTAGTGAGTGCTTCAGGACACGAACAACAGCCGTGAATGATGCACCTTTTTTGGACCCCGGGTGGAAAGTGAGAAGGATGCGATGGTCCAATCAAGGTTCTATGCTGCCATATCAATGACTGGTTTAGCTGCATAGTTTGACAGGGCAAGGTATTGCAGTCGATTGGTTTTCTTCAGGTGAAATGCGGGTGCCAAATTCCAATAGTCAGAAGCACTGGGCTGTTCCTCACATGGCTGGCATCGGTGCGCGGAATTCGCCGATATTTTGGCGGCTGGGACGGGTTGCGGCCGATTGATCAGCCCAAAGAGGTCCCGTTCCGTTTGGCGTTTTCCAACAGACTGGGCTAAGGATCTGGGCATGAAAGACCTTGTCGAACATGTGGACCCTGGCAACGTGTTGGAATTTCATCCCGAATCCCCACACAGCTATGTGCCAGGCTCACTTTGAGTTTTCGATCCCGCCACGGATCATTTGACAGTCTCGTACAGCGAGCTCAGTAGAATTCCGCAATTCGGCCGAGTGCCATGATCCATACACCTCAGCCATATCCCAAGCCTTTCTTTGATCTGTTTGCAGACATGACTGGACAATGAGGGGGCAGCTTGGCAGTTCCGCCAAGACTGGCGCAGCAGATGTTGGTTTCTCTCAGAAGCTGAGAGGAAGGACATGTTCTCGGCCATCTCTTGGCAGAAAGGACACAGCGCCTGTGGCCAGCGTCGGGCATTTCTGGATTTCGTCGATGCGGGATTTTTGAAGCGATAAACTTCTTGAAGGCTTTCCCTTTTTCAGAAGTGGGTGGGTGCTTTATGGCCTCCGTACAGCTTTTTGCTTGATTTGTTGAGAAACCACGGCTTGTGTTGTGTTTCATTGCTCCTTTGGCAGAGAAGAAGTTGAGCAGGCTGCATTTATGAAGAAATCAAAGGAGAGCCTGCCACCACACACACACATACACGGACTGGGCAACAAGAAGCAACCCCTTGTCACGAAAGATAGCTACTCGTACCTTGAATGTTTCCCGGGTAGCAAGGTCCGAGCTAGCGGCCTTTGATGAAAGGGCTCGCATGGAGGTGCTTCGCATATGGTTTGCTTCCTTCATTTATTCTCGCTGTGGCCGCACGAATTTAGATTAAGATCAGGCAAGACCATCAAGGAACAGCGAATCGCAGTCCGCATGCCGTGGCTTTCAAAGCCCAAATCCTCGAGACATCTCATGTTGCATTGAGCGGTACTGTGCAAACTGCTGGTCCGACTTAGCTTTTGCAAGGTCGCAAAGAAGGTGGAAGATCAGACTCTTCCCATCAAAAGACTTTTGAAGAAGCAACGCATGCTCAAGTAAATCTGCAAACAGAGTTTAGGAGACATTCCCAACCATACATAGAAGTGACCGCCTCTGGAATTCCCAAGTTGGTCTTGCGTGTATGTCCCGGTCTTGGTTTTCTTTGCACGTAGGTCCAAGGGCGCAGGGCCTTTCTGCTGGGAGGGTATGCCCAGCATTTGCTCAGCTCGGATGTACCAATCTCCAGATGCAGGTCCCTTCTGTCTCCCTCTTCCTCACCTGTGCGGGATCTTCGGAGAAGCCTTTTGGCATAGGGACAATCCCAAACTCAGCAGCAACTGCTCGGCATGCCTGCACATTCACCTACAAAAGCAGAAGCTGACCTTGTTCAACACGACCTTGGGCCTTCTGTGGATGCTCTGTGGTAATGGACAGCCATGACCCAAACGTCCACTTGGATGCTTCCAGCTCTTTGAACCACCAGCGTTACTAGAGTCTAGAGGCAATCTTCATTGGACATACCCACGACATCTGGCTGCGCACAATGTGTTTCATGGTCAAAGTAGCGTTTGAGCCAGCTGCTGCAAGCTGAGTTCAACGTAGTTTGTACCCTGTTTGTGCAAGGACTGTAGTACAACATTGTAGCATTGTACATTGTTTGTGCTCAGCAGCTATCAAGTCAGGGCCGCCGCAGTCTTTGGTATGCAGCTCTGGAGCGTACATCCGCTGCTGGCGAGCAATGAATTGCTTGGCGCTTCAAGTCATTGATCCCGCCAGTTTTCGTCAAGACAGCACGACTGTGCGCATTGGGCCGACTGCTCTGATAACGCCCGAGCTGGACATCCAGCTGGAAAAGTGAAGCTCAGCGCCCGGATTTCTGGTGAGATGAACCCCCACACAGCATGCCACTGGCTGTTCAGCTTGGACCATTAGCTTGTCTGAACAGCAGCAAGCGATGTTGTAAATTGAGGCATGGTGTTAGTTGGAGTACAGCAAAGTCACTTGGGTCAAACGAGCTATGAAGCCGGGAGTTCCCCTTCCGGTTTAGACATACGTAGTGGTAACTCGTGCAGGTGTCAGGCAAGTGTTTGGCGCTCGGTTTCAGGAAGCCAGGGAGCATACAGCGTGCACTAGAACTTGTGTCACTTGCAGCTCAAGGGATCCCGAGTTCTGACCCCGATACGTGACTTTACAGGGAGGGCTTTACAGCGGCTTGGTTGAAATGCGAAAGGAGTCATGACTTCATAGCAGTGTCATTGGAGACCCAATCAGACACCTGCAGACAATTAGACATGTGTTAGAACACCCACCCCCAAAAAGCGTTGGCCGATCGTCAGATAGTTGCTCACTTGCAAACTTGCAGGATGAGGCCGAGTCACTTGAAAGTAGCATGGTCCCCCAACCCTACGAGCCATAGGCTGCGTGACAATCGAGACGTTTGTGACACCAATCCAGTCAGCGCAGTGGCCTCGCAGGGGCGTTTGGCATGGCAATCTGTTGAATCGCCTCCAAATCCACAGATGTAAGATAGCCCTGTTTGGACCACTTTCCTTCCGGGCAGGATTGCGAACAGCCTTTGTCCACGTTTTGATCAAGGGCTCCACACCCGCGAGGTTCACGAGGTCAACGACCTGTGGGGCGACCGCGGGCAGAAGGGCTGCAATTGCGTCATCTCTTGAGGTCAGTCCGGAGGGCGAGTCCGCGTTGACGTTGGGTTTTTTGGTCACCTCTGGGAGTAGAATCGCGGGGCTGCTGGGAATCCCCACAGTGATTCGGATTCAAAGAAAACACCCCCCCTCCATGAAAATCAATCAGGCATGTATGAATCCGGGGCTGATTCTTTGCAAGCCAGTGGGGATGTCCCACTCTGCAAGTTTAGGTTTTCTCAGAGTTGGGCTTGGCTGATAGAGGGAATGGCAACCAAAGCTGGCGCAGGCATGAGACGTGATTGACAGGTTATAGTCAACTCGCCAGAGGCAACCCGCCGATTCTTGCTTGGCACGTAATCCTGACAGTTACGTTGCAGCTCAGAATTGACAAGCCTCCAGCCACCTTCCCATTAAGACCTAGTGCTTAGTAGATGGCCGGTATGGAAAGACACCCATTCTAACTCCGAGCCGGCCATGTGGCATTGGTCAGTCGGAGAAAATCTCGGCATCGGCCTGGCAGGTGTGGGCCCTTTACAGGCTCGGCCCTGGAGTGCCTCAGGCTGGGTTCCTGGAGCAACCCATGTGCTGCGCAATGGCATGAGAATGCACTGCAGACGTGCAGGCCTTCTTCAAGAATAGTGAGGCCCAACAATGGTGCCCGGCATGAGCGATGGAAGCGCACAACTCATATTCACTGGATGTTGGGAGCGTTACTGGCATTTATGGTTGTATGCAGCTTGCTTTGGGTATAGCATGGCATTTGACCATGCTATCATAGCAATACGTCATGGCTGATTCACAGACATACAAATCTTTGGGCAATACAACCTTTTTTCTCAGAACAAGGCTACTTGAACTCCGTGCCATGTCTAGGATCTGGTCGAGCTCCGGGATCAGGTTTGGCAAGGTTTAATGGGTGCCAAGGTATCAGATGCCTTTTTGTTTGCTTGCTTTCTCGGGCAACTGCGGTTTGGAATCGCTTGCCATCGGAAGCAGCAACGCAGACGACATCGGACTCAAAGCATAGTAGATGGTTTACCAGCCAGGCGGCCAGCAATTGCCTTAACAGACCAGCCATTCATGTTCTAGGTAAGCAAGGCTGATTATCTTTGCCAGGGGCTCACATTGACATGTCTACCTTTCAGAAATGCAAGGAGGTATGGTTCAAAATCAACGGCAATGCCCAAATGCCACATTTAGACGCCAGAGCTTCATGTCCGATCCTGGGTAGCTGCCAAATCCAGCTTCTGGCAAACAGACATACATTCAGATGAGTTGCAGTTTGAAGGTGCATGGCCCTTTTGTGGGCACCACTGTTTGCCTGAGTGATGCAGCTGTTCATTACAGGCGTTCATACTTGCAATGTACACCATCTATCACAAGACCCTTTCCCCACAAGGTGAAACATTAGGCTTGGGCTCCTCATCTTGGTATACGCTGATTGAGACGTGCCCGTGAGTGTGGACACTGCAAAAGCATCGACATATGTTCGTCATAAATCGCAGAGATTCATATGAGTCACGGTCAAAACATGCGCAGATCACTTGAGTAAAGCTGGGTTGGCAGCGTACATTTGTAGAAAGCCTCGCACAACGATAGGACCCCCACCAAAAACGAGAACTACATAACAACCTCCTTGACGGTAGCTCATATGTGACCTTTGGCCACGAGATCTGTGACACAGGCTTGCGCTTCCTTCTCCGTTGCAGAATCAGGATTCACCCCGTGGATTAGGGGAGTCCACCAAATTTTGCGCCCAGACCACATCCATCCAAGTGATTCTGGCAGCTGCCCCAACGACAAAAACTGTTCGGTGTTTGCTTGTTCTTCGGACTTGGCCAGATAGCCGGCGCGGGGTGAAAGTGCTTCATGGAACATTCACCGAGTAAACTCGGGGCGAATACGTCCAGGAGGTGCGCAATGCAAAAGGTCCAAAGATGCACCCAAATGCATTCAGATGCATTCAGATGCATTGCCTGCACCAGCGCGCCTCAAGTTGTAATAGCACTCCGAAGGGAGCAGCTTCGCATCCGTCCCAGCGAAGACGGGAAGAAGGAAAGTGGAATGTTCTCGAGCGAGTTAGTTCTCAGACACGTGGGGGCTGACAGGTGAAAGAACCCTCTTCAGGAGAAAGGTCCTGATTGGAATGTGTGGAGGACTCTTTTGTCTGTGGAATACGTGACCACCAGGATTCGGGTGAGAAAATGAGCGTTTGAAGAGTTGCAGGCCTAGCCAGCCCTGTTGACTTTATTGGCCATGTTAAGACAACACCCATAGTTTGGTGCCGCCACGCCTTTTCTTCAAAGGGACTGTTGTTCTTTTCCTCCAAAGCCCAGGAGTTTCCTGGCTGATTCTGGGTCCCAGGTGCAGTAGGATGAAGGTACCAGTGCTGCGAAGGTGAGGGTTCTACTACCTTAGGATCATGATGAATCAACACGAGCTGTGGGCGGTATGGCTGTTCAAGCAGTTCTAGCACAATGTCTCTGTCTCTCACCCGCCAATGGTGAAGAAGCTGATGTGCAATGTGCAGCACTTCAGCCCCTGCCGAGATTTAGGGACCAATTATGTAGGTTCACCCCGTTTAACTCAAAAAGAGGTGCTTGGAGTCTCAGCACTATTGTAAACGCCAGGGTCGAATTTGCCATGCTATAGACAAGTAACAATGCTTAGACAAGCATTTTTGCTAATCAAGCAGCTTTTACATCAGTGTTGCAGGACAGGTGCAGGGAAGACGAGCAAGCTGCGACGGATGCGACTCACTGGGCAAGAGTAGCTTTCTTAGCTCTGGAGTTCGGCTTCACACAAGAAGGATGGACAATATGGAGGCGTTCATCACGTGTATATAGCCTTCTTGCTGGCTGCGTTGTAGACTGTATTTGTATTGAATCTAAGTTTGGGGAAAGTAACATTCCGGTCTGTTGCGCGAACCCAGCTGAACTCTTGGCATGCTCGTTCCACGTGTGACGGTTTCGCGTTGCAAACTGTCAGGGCCTGGGCGATGCAATACGTCTTCAAGAGGATATCCAATGATATCCAGCTGCCACGGCAGTTGTTTTGTCCTTGCCGCGACACGCATTTGCACGGCCCAAAACAAGAGCCAGGACTTTGGGTGACAAGCTGTTGCTTTCCTTAATTTCATTGTGTGGGCAGTCCAAGCTGCGCAGTCTTGACAGAAAGCAGCGGGGATGCAGTAGGGAGTTGCAGAAGTGCTCTAGAAGTGTTCAACCGTCATGTAAGCTAAGACACTGCGTACACGCGTGTCCTTGTGTGCGTGAATGTGTCTGTGCCCGTTTGTGTGCGTCCGTGGGCGGGTGTGCGGCAGTGCGTGTGGGTGTGAAGTGGGCGTGCGTGTTGTGCATACATGCATGTGCGCGTGCGAGGGGGCGTGCGCGCGCGTGTGTGTATACATATGTTTGGGTGTGTGTGTGTGCGTGTGTGTGTGTGTGTGTCTTTGTGTTTGTGTTTGTGTTTGTGTTTGTGTTCGTGTTTGTGCTCGTGGTGTTTGTGTTCGTGTTCGTGTTTGTGTTCGTGTTCGAGTTCGTGTTTGTGTTTGTGTTTGTGTTCGAGTTTGTGTTTGTCTGTGTGTGTGTTTGTGTGTGTGTGTGTGTGTGTGCGTGCGTGCGTGCGTGCGTGCGTGCGTGCGTGCGTGCGTGCGTGCGTGCGTGCGTGCGTGCGTGCGTGTGGGTGCGTGTGGGTGCGTGTGGGTGCGTGCGGGTGCGTGCGGGTGCGTGCGGGTGCGTGCGGGTGCGTGCGGGTGCGTGCGGGTGCGTGCGGGTGGGTGGGTGGGTGGGTGGGTGGGTGGGTGGGTCGGTGGGTCGGTGGGTCGGTGGGTCGGTGGGTCGGTGGGTCGGTGTGCGTGTGCGTGTGCGTGTGCGTGTGTGTGTGTGTGTGTGTGTGTGTGTGTGTGTGTGTGTGTGTGTGTGTGTGTGTGTGTGTTTGTTTGTTTGTTTGTTTGTTTGTTTGTTTGTTTGCTTGTTTGTTTGTTTGTTTGTTCCCCACATCTTTGTGTGGGGTTCTTACTTTTTCCGCTCGTCGTCCGCGCGCCGCGTCTCCTCCTTCTCCCGCTCGTCTCCGTCTCACTCACTCACTCACTCACTCACTCACTCACTCACTCACTCACTCACTCACTCACTCAACTCACACTCACTCACTCACTCACTCACTCACACTCAGTCACTCACACTCACTCACTCACTCACTCACTCACTCACACTCACTCACTCACTCACACTCACTCACTCACACTCACTCTCATTCACTCACTCTCATTCACTCACTCACTCACTCACTCGCTCACTCACTCACTCACACTCGCTGACTCACGGCAGCTGTCTAGAGGGACAGGATGTTGTCGCGCGCGCGGCGGGGGGTGTGCGAAATCGTGGCAGGCGCAGCACTTTGGCGATGCCGTTGCGAAATCGTGGCAGGCGCAGCACTTTGGCGATGCCGTTGCCGAAGTCGTGGCAGGCGCAGCATTCTGTGCATCTGGGTGTGTGTTTGTGTGGCAGGGGTCGCATTCGGCAGCTGTCTAGAGGGACAGGATGTTGTCGCGCGCGCGGCGGGGGGTGTGCGAAATCGTGGCAGGCGCAGCACTTTGGCGATGCCGTTGCGAAATCGTGGCAGGCGCAGCACTTTGGCGATGCCGTTGCCGAAGTCGTGGCAGGCGCAGCATTCTGTGCATCTGGGTGTGTGTTTGTGTGGCAGGGGTCGCATTCGGCAGCTGTCTAGAGGGACAGGATGTTGTCGCGCGCGCGGCGGGGGGCGTGCGAAATCGTGGCAGGCGCAGCACTTTGGCGATGCCGTTGCGAAATCGTGGCAGGCGCAGCACTTTGGCGATGCCGTTGCCGAAGTCGTGGCAGGCGCAGCATTCTGTGCATCTGGGTGTGTGTTTGTGTGGCAGGGGTCGCATTCGGCAGCTGTCTAGAGGGACAGGATGTTGTCGCGCGCGCGGCGGGGGGCGTGCGAAATCGTGGCAGGCGCAGCACTTTGGCGATGCCGTTGCGAAATCGTGGCAGGCGCAGCACTTTGGCGATGCCGTTGCCGAAGTCGTGGCAGGCGCAGCATTCTGTGCATCTGGGTGTGTGTTTGTGTGGCAGGGGTCGCATTCGGCAGCTGTCTAGAGGGACAGGATGTTGTCGCGCGCGCGGCGGGGGGCGTGCGAAATCGTGGCAGGCGCAGCACTTTGGCGATGCCGTTGCGAAATCGTGGCAGGCGCAGCACTTTGGCGATGCCGTTGCCGAAGTCGTGGCAGGCGCAGCATTCTGTGCATCTGGGTGTGTGTTTGTGTGGCAGGGGTCGCATTCGGCAGCTGTCTAGAGGGACAGGATGTTGTCGCGCGCGCGGCGGGGGGCGTGCGAAATCGTGGCAGGCGCAGCACTTTGGCGATGCCGTTGCGAAATCGTGGCAGGCGCAGCACTTTGGCGATGCCGTTGCCGAAGTCGTGGCAGGCGCAGCATTCTGTGCATCTGGGTGTGTGTTTGTGTGGCAGGGGTCGCATTCGGCAGCTGTCTAGAGGGACAGGATGTTGTCGCGCGCGCGGCGGGGGGCGTGCGAAATCGTGGCAGGCGCAGCACTTTGGCGATGCCGTTGCGAAATCGTGGCAGGCGCAGCACTTTGGCGATGCCGTTGCCGAAGTCGTGGCAGGCGCAGCATTCTGTGCATCTGGGTGTGTGTTTGTGTGGCAGGGGTCGCATTCGGCAGCTGTCTA